TAACTACATCTTTGGGACCGCAAACTTCTTTCGGCTACTTCTGGCCCCGGAGAGGCAGCCTCCTGGAGTTTAAAGTATTCTTTCCACGATTCTGTCGACATCCAATTGCAAAATGATTGTCACTTCCACAAATGAAACAATGAGAGCATTTGTCATTTCCACTAGTTTGGCACTGCAAGCATTTTGGCGGCGTATTTCTTCTCTGGTTTCTAGTGTCTACTGGCGCAGGCGAATTTGGTAATCGAGCTTGTTCAATTTCTTGGTTGATATCCTTCAACTGACTCTTAACTTGTGCCACTTCAACTTTCAGTGCTTCCAGAGTCTTTAGAATTTTATCTTGGGACTCAGCTTTCTCTGCTACCTGGTAAACCTGGGCAAGCTTTGGGCGGTTCTGGTTTCTTAATTTTCTTACCCGTTCATTCTCTGTCGACACTGCATTATTTACTTGCAAAATAAGCTCCTCATCTGATATTGTGGGGTTTCTGAGGTACCCCCTAACCCTTACTCTAACATTTTCATCTTGAAGGCCAGTTTCAACAGTACGTAGGAACAGCTTTTGAATATGATCATTTTCATAAACCAAAGTGTCCTCAACTTTGATCTTGAGTGCTTGAAAACAGGATTTTCTGGCGTAAATCCAAGGCACGCATAAGGAATTCTTGTGGTGTTTCCTTTGACGCTTGACATATTGATGCAAGACTTTGATATAGCTCAGTTGCACTTTTTACATCATAATGGTTTCGAAGAATTTATCGTAACCGCTCTAGAGATAGATCCTTGTAAGTTTCTACATAACTTCGAAGAACCATACCACCATTAATTGAACGAATAACACCGTCCACAATTTCCTGTTCTGTGTACCCCTGTTTAACCCCAGTGTCAATTTGTCTTGTCAAGTATGTGAAACTCAACTTGTCTTTTTCATTTGGCTGTCCAATTTGTCCCACAATCTTAAATTGTCGACGAAATACACTTGTAGATTCTAACATACCTTGTAATGTGCTTTGTCCTGCGTTTTGCTTTACAGGGGGTACCGATTCTGAAACATCTTTTTCTTTTGTGCTCTTAAAGTAACGTGAGCGAAATTATGTCAAGAATAACATTCGTTGTTCCTCGTTTTTGTCCATCAATTCTTTATCAATGTGGTTAAAAATCATGCAAACAATTGTACTTTTCCTTTGTTCGGAAAATATCAAGTTTAAAATCCTTTGCCATAGCCTGGAGCGTTTTTTCGGGTGCTTGGCAAACCGTTGTTTGCATCTTTGCTTGTAGTTCTTCAGCCATAATCGCCAGCAAGTCACCAGAAGCAAAGATCAAAATACGAAAATCAAGAATTTAGAAAAGCGTAAAAATCATACTTTTTCCTTCGCATTCACAGCTTCTTTTATGTATAAAAGTCTCGGTGGGACCTCCAATTTGTTGCCCGCTCACTAAATTCCCGATCTATTCCATAATTGACGTATTAAAACAGTAGAAAGCACCATTTATTTCGTAAAACAATGTGAACATTAATAACAACGTCGTTGATTAATCGCCATCTTGGAAATCTGTTTGTCTGTCCTTTCTCGTTACTATGGTAACCGTCACAACTGCATGATGCAATAGTTCCTATTTAACTAGAAAATACATGCATGCAGAAACCCTCGCCTTGCTGACAAAACCGTTGTATTTTCCGAACATGAAGTATCTAAAGTAGTTGTTATGGTAACACGATAATTTTTTTAGAATATTCTTACAAATGAAAATCGCCTAAAAATATCACTTTTAATTACAAAATTATCAATTTCCCAACATATTTATGTTATGTATGTAATTATACGTAATACAAGCTTCAATTTAAGGTAAAATTCAACCACAAACAATTCACAAAACGTTTTAAAGTGTTCTTTATAAAACTAAACTGCCTTTAACTATTAAATGGCTTTATCGATAAACTTTGAGTTTGCAATAAAATGATTTCAAATTCTCGCTTGCAAATAACTTTGCTTTATTTTTATACAAAAAATTCAATATAATAAAAAAGGGAATCAATATTAAAGATACACTGAAATTATATGCTGTCTTGTTTAGTTGTTTCATATACGCAAAGGCCGTCGGGTATTAAAGCCATTATAAAATCAATATTTAAAACAAACTTACCTTCGTTAACGTCGGCTCCCTTCTTTTAGCTGATTCTTTGGCCCTTTCTTTCTTGAAATTTACAAAATCTTGCAGAAATACCAGCAAAAATGAAGAATATTTGCAAGAAATTTATCAATCATCAACTCATCAAATCAAGAAATGTTTGCTATTTCGCTGTCGTCATGCAGCCGTTATAATGCAAACTTGAAATTGGACCAATAAGTGTCCGTTATTCATGACAGTCCTCCATATTTTTGAGATCAGTGAGGATGGCCACCCATCGTTGGTGACCGACGCCCGCGCTCATTGATGAACTTTAGACTTCGCTAATGCTTTCGTTTCCCCGGGTGTAAATAGCCGAGGGGAATTAGTACCCTCGCACGGCGCTTCGCGCCGCCGGCTCGGGGACTAATGTTAGATGACGTATTGCTAATGGGCAGCCTACATATGGACAAAGGTGAATGCTGTGGCGCTGTCTTTATCGACCTGAAGAAAGCATTCGACACGGTGGATCATGGTCGTCTACTGTCCAAATTATCTCACTACGGTATTAAAGATAAAGAACTAACATGGTTTGAGAACTATTTATTTGGAAGGCGTCAACGTGTAATCTACGATGGCACACAATCTGACAGCCAACCTATCGTTTGTGGTGTGCCACAGGGTTGCATCTTAGGACCTATGCTGTTCATCTTATTGATTAATGACATAGATCACCAATTGAATATAGCTGTAAAATTCTACTATATGCTGACGACACAGTGGTTTTCACATCCAGTGAAAATCAAGAAACCATTAAAGGAAATTTAAACACGGATCTATCAAAACTGGCCACCTGGTTTTACGAAAACAACCTAGTCGTCAACCTCAAAAAAGGAAAAACCGAATTCATCCTGTACGGTACACCTAACAAATTGTCAAAAGCCGAGAAAATGAATATTATGATTCGAAACGAACCGGTGAACGAAGTGCCAGCCGGAATTGCTTATGGCAACAACATCCAAAATAATTGGACAAAGCTGAAAAAAATCCGAAATAGAGCTTGTGTAATGCAAGTGTTTAAATGGATTGGCACCTCAATGCTATGATGGCTACTTCTAAACGCACTCCCATGGAAAAAGTACCCGTGGAGATAACAACAAACTGTTATTGCCAAAAGTTAGAACTGAAACTGCACGGAAACGATTTGCATTCCAAGGAGCAGTTCAATACAACAAACTACCAGACAGTCTAACAAAAGAAGCATCATTACTGAGATTTAAAGAACAATGTAACACTATTTGTAACTGTTAGAAAGTTAGAAACGTTTCGTAAATTAGAAACATCTCACTTTTTATTGTTAAATTAGAAACATCTCACTTTTTATTGTACACTATTCTTAATAACTATTCGAAACATTCCGTAAACAGTGGCGGCGCCACTATTCTTAATAACTATTCGAAACATTCCGTAACAGTGGCGGCGCGCCCCCCCCAAATTATCCCCCCCCCACTATTCTTAATAACTATTCGAAACATTCCGTAACAGTGGCGGCGCGCCCCCCCCAAATTATCCCCCCCCCCCATTTTGCCCCCGTCAAAAAAATTTATTAGTCACTGAGAGCGACTAAAGGCTACACAAGCGTTTTGTCGTTATCGGAAAATGTATGGCTTATAAGTTGTCATTACTCATTAGTGAATGCGCGTATACATGAAACTGTCTTTTACAGTTTCAATATTAGTTTGTAAATCTCTGAATGGTAAAACTTGCCAATACTCCAATAATACGTTTCAAAAAAGACAAAAAAGCTTTAGTTTTGTAAAGTTAAATTCTCAAACGTGTAAAGGCCCACACAGACCGGACGCGATTCGGCAACGCGACGCGAATTTTCAGTTTTCAACTGACAAATAAAACCGTCAACGGATAAAAATTTTACAAGGTATGCAGACCAAATAGCTAAAATTGCTAAGTGGTCCCGAATATTTGAAAAACAATGAAAAATATTAAAGTTAAATGTCATTGAAAACTGAAAATTCGCGTCGCGTTGCCAAATAGCGTCCGGTCTGTATGGGCCTTAAGGCACCAATAAGATGAAAGTATCACGAAATTATTTGAATAAACCACATCGCATATATGAGGGGCGAATATCCTAAAGGGGGGGGGCGATATTCCTGGGGCATTCGCCCCTCTGGGGGGGGGGCGATATTCCTAGGATATTCGTCCCCCGGGGGCGGTATTCCTAGGAATATCGCCCCCTTTTGAGAGGGGGCGAATCTCCTGGGGGGGGGGCAAAAGTCCTGTGACAACGGCATGGGCAAATAGCAGTACCTTTTTAAAAATTCTATCTTGCCCCCCCCCAAAAAAAAATATGAGCTTGCCCCTCAAATGCCCCCAAATTCTGAGGCCTGGCGCCGCCACTGCCAATGTGAGCCTGTTCAACGACAAATGTGTTGCAGTTGAGTCGACCCTTCCACCACTTGATTGGACTCCGCTTCCCGTTGACCTTATCCTTCCGAATTCATCATATTCGTTGAAGAAACCAAAACAGTATTACTTTAATCTAAACTCCATGCATTCTGTTGCTGATCCCGACGAAATATCGGCGTGGTTTCTTTGCGAGAACGCATCCACTTTGTGTCGCTCACTAAGCTCCATTTTCAACCTGTCCATCCGTCAAGTCATCGACTCAGATTTTCGTACCATCTCCCTCACGACCATTATTAGCAAAATTCTGCAGTCGTTTCCTTACCGCTGACTTTTCCAATCAATCATAAGACAGGTCAACCCTCTTCAGTTTGTCGCTTTACAAGGCTCAAGCGCAAGCATGGTTCTCGTTCACCTCCTCCATAAGTGGTACGAAGTATGCGATGACCTTGGTTCATTATTACGGATCTACCTGTTAGACTTTTCAAAAGTCTTTGATCGGATAGATTATAACGTCTTACTGAGAAAGCTTCAGCATATGGCCGTACACCAAATTCTCAATATCTTGTCTAATAGATTACGGAGGACAAAGATTGGTCAGGATTGGTTAGTCTGTTTGAAAGTATATTCAAACTGGTGTTCCAAAGGGAACAAAACCAGGTCCCTTGTTTTAGTCATGGTAAATGATCTCAACCGGCTAAAGACCTTGTCAAATTCGTCGATGATTCCACAATGTGTGAAGTTCTGCACAGAGACTCCCAATCTAAGCTCCCCTAACCGTGAAAGCGTGCGAGGAATGGGCATGTGATAATAACATGAAGTTGAACGCTTCGAAGACGAAAGAGATGCCTGTGAATTTCTCGTCTAGTTCACCCTCTTGTCCAGCAATTGTGACCAACAATCAAACAGTCAGCAATCGTTAAGCATGCCAAGCTACTAGGCGTTACCATCTCGAATGACTTGAAATGGAGCTTGCATGTAAATGCCATCGAGAAGAAGGCTTCCAAGCGTTTATACGCCCTGCGGCTGTTGAAAAGGAACGCCCTTACGCACTCCGTCCTAGTCAAGGTTTATTGCACGTGTGCTAGACCCATCCTTGAGTACGCATGCGAAGCGTGGCACAACATCAATCCCTGTGTACCTTATAGTAACCAAATAGGGTAGATCCAGAAAAGAGCTCTCCGAATTTTCTACCCTTCCTTTACCTACAATCAAGCGATGCTCACCGCCAACGTTCCATCGTTGTACAATCGCCGAAGCACCCTTTGTGAACGACTTTTCCACAGAATGCTTGATCCGGGTCACAAATTAAACTCGCTCATTCCAGCTCTTAAGGTTAACGAACACAATCTATGCCATAATATAGGTGTTGTAATATTTCAAATCCGACTGTGAGTACTGGATTAGATTTCAAATCCGCGCAATTTGATCAAGTTCAAGGCGAAGCCGAGGACTTGGATCAAAATGCGAGGACTTGAAATATAGTCCAGTCCGAATTGGAGGATTTGAAATGACATCTGCTACGAATAAATCACTACTTAATTAATTTTGATCCAGTCCAAGGACTGAATTAATTTTGATCCATCCTAGGACTGGATCAATCTACTTCATCAGGTATCCAGTATTATCGTGTTAGCAAAATAAACGATATGGTTGGCTAATTTACTCATGTATTATTAATGAGTTTGGGATTTAAGGTTCCAGTTCATGCATAAGAGTTTTATACCGCCTGTAGCAATATGTACAACTCGAAACATTTTTAACTCTTAACTAACAGTGGGAAATTTGTTGTCGCTGCTGTGCACAGTGTGCAGAGAAATTGCTGGCGCACGAATTATTTCACAAAAATTTGAAAAAACAACACGAGTGAAATTTCAACTTATGATTTTGCATTTTTAAGACGGCGATCAACGAAATTAAATTGTAGGAAAAGCTTCACTAACATCTCAAGTATGGAAAACATCTACATTATCAGCATTTTAATTGTGGATTGATTCAAAATTCAGGCGATAACGTTGCATAGCTGGGAGTTGGCTTTTGTGCTCTTCGAATATTATTTGGGTAAATAAACATGCTACTGCGTGATAGTGATTTCGAAGCAACTTTGTCACATATATTTTAAAAAGTGGGATAATGAATCACCTTTTGGTAATAAAACGATTATTATTATTATTGCAGAAAAACGTGTTTGTAGAATTTCTTAACATTTGGATGTAATATATACATGCAGAAATATATATATGCAGAAACCCTCGCCTTGCTGACAAAACCATTGTATTTTCCGAACGTGAAGTATTTAAAGTAGTTGTCATGGTAACACGATTATTTTTTAAGAATATTTTTACAAATGAAAAATCCCCTAAATATATCACTTTTATCAATTTAATTATCAATTTCCCAAACATATATGTTAGGTATGTTATTATACGTAATATAAGCTTCAATTTAAGGTAAAATTTAACCACAGACTCTTCGCAAAACGTTTTAAAGTGTTCTTTTAATATAGAACTAAACTGCCTTTATCGATAAACTTTGAGTTCGAAATAAAATGATTCCAAATTCTCGCATGCAAATAACTTTGGTTATTATAATAAATGAAGGGTAATCAAATCAATAAACAAATACTGAAATAATATGCTGTCTTGTTTCATATTTATACGCAACGATCGGCTTTTAAAGTAATTACAGTATATTAAAAGCAAACAATGCATCAATATTTAAAAGAAACTTACTTTCGTTAACGTCGGCGCCTTTACTCCCTTCTTTTAGCAATTCTTTCGCCTTTATTTTATCAAAAAATAAGAACATATCAATACTTTTTAGAAACAGTTTAAACGTAGTCATATGTAATCTATTGTATATATATATATATATATATATATATATATATATATATATATATATATATATATATATATATATATATATATATATATATATATATATATATATCATATATATATATACCATATATATATATCATATATATATATATATACCATATATATACCATATATCTTCTTTTTCCCCACGTTACCTAATATATTTGTTTGTTTGTTTGTTAATAGTCGTAGTTATACAAAGGCCCAGTGTAAGATTAGCTTTGCTAAACTGGTTTTTGTAATACCTTCTTTAAATAAAGTCTATTATTATTATTATTATTTAAAAAGCTTTTGAAATTTACAAAATCTTGCAAAAATGAAATATATTTGCAAGAAATCATCAAACCAAGAAATGTTTGCTATTTCGCTGTCGTCATGCAGTCGTTATAATGCAAATTTTAAATTGGACCAATCAGTGTTGGCTATTCATGACAGTCCGCTATATTATGAGATCAATGACTTGCAGTGCCTTTTTTAACTATATATCTGTGGGGGCAATTGCCCCGCCAGGGAAAGAATTTGCCC